TATATGAATAGTAGTCGTAAGAAAAAAAGAAACGAATGCATTGACATTGTTTTGTTTTGTTCTTTTTAAAAAACGTATACTAAAAATGTATTGTTTAAATTAAAAGCATTTTAACTTATTTAAACATAACCCTAATTCAATTAAAACCAGAGAAATACACAATGGTTGCTCTTGCTAAATCTTTAACCCATTACATAACTTTCACCTCAACACAAACACGTTAACCTTATACACATAAACGTCAACACTTAACGAGTTGCCACCAAATCAAACGTACCGTCTCGTCTGGGAAACTGTGAATGGAATCCGCCAGGCAGTTCCCCCTCATTTTCAAGGTCATCAGTTTGGGGATGTTCAAGGTCATGGGCTGCTCGAGGTGGATGAAATAGTTCTCGGACATTCCAAAAGAATGTGTGTAACTGATGTTCATCTTCCACCTGCTGGCCGCGCTGGCCACGATCTCAGCTCCGTGGAACAGTTCTGGGAACAGTTACAGGTAAATGTTAGCTATTAACCCAAATGTCTCGAGTTCGGATCCTGGGCCCGAATCTATGAGACGGCCTTGAGTTCACCAAGAAACAGATGAACTCTACTTCATCTGCCTGTGTGTCTTGGACACTAAAGGAAAAAATATGATGATGTTCAGAGCAGTATTGGTGAAACACACTGATTAGGGAGGGAGGGGGGGCTTTCATTGGTATATCTGGCGTGGTGGCATATATAGCTGTAGCTGATGTGGGGGTATATACTGGTTTACCTGATGTGGGGGGGGGGCATATATTGGTTTACCTGATGTGGGGGGGGGGGGGGCATATATTGGTTTACCTGATGTGGGGGGGGGGGCATATATTGGTTTACCTGATGTGGGGGGGGGGGGCATATATTGGTTCACCTGATGTGGGGGCATATATTGGTTTACCTGATGTGGGGGGCATATATTGGTTTACCTGATGTGGGGGGGCATATATTGGTTCACCTGATGTGGGGGCATATATTGGTTTACCTGATGTGGGGGGCATATATTGGTTTACCTGATGTGGGGGGGCATATATTGGTTTACCTGATGTGGGGGGGGGGGCATATATTGGTTTACCTGATGTGAGGGCATATATTGGTTTACCTGATGTGGGGGGGCATATATTGTTGTAGCTGATGTAGAGACATACATTGACCTTTATTCTACATAAAGCTGGAGACTGCAAAACAAAGAGTATTCTATACAATATTTTACCCTAAAGACTACGAAGTCGAGGAATATATTTCGACCTTTTAAATGGCAGATTAAGTTGGCTACAGAGCTCCGTGTACTTGATACCGCTTACACACAATTGTATTTGTTTAATGTGTTATTTTTAAAACAAAAAAATATCTCATAAAGTAAATTTAAAATAGATATTATACTAACCGCATCCAGAAAATTAACCGATTTACTCGGATACAATATTTTGTCAATAGTTCTGACCTTTTCCCACTCCCCCCGGGGGTATCCGGATAAAGTTATACGCCCTTGAGTACTCCAGGCTCGTCCCATAATAAAACATGGTGCCGTCTGCTGCAGTATGAGGATGTGCTGTACCGATGTGAACCGCTACAACTTTTCGAAGTTCAATCTAGAACAATTTTAGAATAAAATTAAAATTAAAGTTAGCTATAGGCGATACATTTACAGACAAAAGTAGTTTTTTTTAATTCTTTGAACATCACGTAACGTACTCAACAATTAAAGAAAGTTGGAGTCGCTGAAATGAGATGTAATATGTAATATATAAACATATTATGAATCTAGTTTAAAGACAACGTCACTCCAATTACGGAGTGGGTGACTGGGTTCAATGTTCGATTGGTCATCGTGATGACCTACTACCTACCACGTCCAATGGTTGATACGTCATCACGATGACCGAATACCATCCAGGTCCATTGGTCGATTGGTCATCATGAATACCTGCTACCAATCGTAAAAACCCGAAAGCCAAACATGTGTCGTCAAATAAGTCTTGAAATAAACAGTACCACGTTAAAGAAATAAGGAGAAAAATACAAAAGAATGGACTGGTTTAAACTGGGAAAGACACTGAAGATGACGGAGTACATAGATGACCTGATGAAGATGATAAAAAGACACGTCTAGAAAACAACGGAACAGGAACAGAGAGGAATGTACGTTTCAACATAAGTGCCAAATATTTTTTATCTTAAACAAAAATAACGTGCATTCACTTTCATAAACAAAGCAAAAACACTTTTAAATATATATATATATATATATATATATATATATATATATATATATATATATATATATATATATATATATATATATATATATATATATATATATATATATATTTGGGGGGGGGGGGGTGACTAATATGTAGCACTATTTACTTGGTCTTTCTTTGAGAGTGTATCCAGAGTCACCTCGTTGATTAAGGTTGACTCCGTCAGCGCAAAGATTCGATCCCCGAACTCCACAATATTGACCGCCGTGTTGTCGTACTTGGCTGGGGGCTGCGGTATGAAGTAGCTGAAGAATCTGAGGATCAATGCTGTTAAGTGAGAGGGAATATCGATGCTGTCTTGTTAAAATGATGACAAAAAGTAGACAAAAAATCTAAAAATTTACACTGTCTCTTTAAAGTGATGCCGAAAAATAGACAAACATATTTAAAATTTAATTTTACACTGTCTTGTGAAAGCGATGACGAAAGGTAGCCAAAAGTTCTGAAAATTTACATTGTCTTGTGAAAGAGACAGAGAAAAGACTGCTCAGTAGCGAAAGGAAGACCTTTAGATGGATGCCGACTTAACCGTTACATCCAATCCAGCTCACCGACTAAAAATACTTTTACACGGGTCTGGGAAGCTGGAGCCGAAGTTGTCCCCCACCAGCCGGTTGAACTTGACACACTTCTTGTACTGCTCCGTGTCCAAGATGGAGGACAGGTAGGTCACCTTGCCCTGGTGGATGCTCCACCTGTGGATGACCGCCAGACCGTCGAAGGCGTGGCTCCAGCGGGTGTCCCCCATCTTGTAGATGCCGCTGCCACACCTGTACAGGGACCCGTACAGCCAGTCCGGCAAAGTTCCTGGAAATATTTTGTTCTCAAGCGTTAGTTTGTATTAATAAATACAAAAAGGTAATACTTCTGGTCAAATGTTATATTTTGTTTTACAATATGTGTAGCAAAAAAAAAGGATTGTTTAAAAATTATAATCCTTTACACACACACACACACACACACACACACACACACGCACGCACACACACACAACACACACACATACATACACACACAAACATATATATATATAATTATGTATATATATATATATATCATAAGGAAGGTAGCATATGTGAAGTGTATTTAACGTGGTGCAGAAGGAATTTTTCAAGTGCACGATCCCTTTAAATATTAAATTATTTAAATCTTAGATTCATGATTTAATTTAAACCAGTTTTACACAATGGAATACAGTTTAGCTTTTAGTTAGTGTTACATTATTTGTTTATGTTTAGATTTAAGTTTAGTGTTTCAGTTATGTTAAATGTAAACAATTATATATTTTTGCGATAAATAGTGTGGGGTAGTTTTTTAAATGTGTATCCAATTATTCAAGATACCAGAAATTTAGTGAGCCAAAATTATTGAATAGAAAAAGAGCGTTGTTTACTTGGCCTGGAAATAACATATAATCATTTATTTAAAGGAATGTTTTTTATTCACTTGATAACTTAAATAAGTAAAATATATCGATCATGGGATTCAATTTTCTTCCCCGCATTATTACATTTCTATACGTTATTTTTCTATGTACCTGTGGTAGTATAGGTATTTTTTACAAATATCAAGTGTGTCTTATCTACAAATGGTCGATATAATTACAGCACTTGTTAAAAATGTATTATTTTTATAAAGTCGCGGTCAGTATAGGTTACTTTTCGGTCACTGTAATCGCGATGATTGAGAAGGCTATATTTTTTACAAGCTTTTTTTAGTTCGCAACGTCTGTTTTTTTTTTGTTTTTTTTTTTTAATGTTTTTGGTTTGTTTGTGAGTTTGTGGCAAATGTTGTAATTTCGACCAACTTCTAATGCAGTGATTTCGTTCAAACTTTCCGTATACGTTCCACTTCGATGACAATTTTAGTCTATCTATTTTTAAATTTAATTAGATACCTAATTAGTTAATAAAAATTGATTAAATGGGTTCGAAACTAAGGGGAGATAACAAAATTAAATCACTCGATAGATTACCATATTCAATAACATAATTGGAGATAACTAAAGCTTTTGTCGCTAAAATAGGTAAAAGATCTCATAAGCGACAAAAGTTTTTTATGAAAGAAAGTGAAATAGTTTTATTTTCAGTGCATTTAAGCGCTTCTTGCTATAAACGTATTTTGTATTTGTTTGTTTTTTTCGTGGTAAACTGTAAACTGTGTTCTATTGCTAAAATTGGCATCTGAAATTTGCTTACATGCGAATAACAGACAGACGAAGAGACATCCCTCAATTTGCCCTTTTATTCCTGTAGAATGTTATCATCTAACAGCATGCAGAAGGTGCTTCTTGGTCCCAGTGCTTCACAAAAGGATTAGAATTGAATTGAACAGATTGACTCACCTGTCAGCTGTGTGTCCACCGGCTGGTCAAGATGGGCCGTCTGGTCTAGATCAAAATACTGCGGCAGCCTGTTCTCCATCGTCTCCGTTTCGTGCCCGTTAAACGCTGGATGAATGTGTCTTAGCCTTTAATTACTGAACATAACACCATAGCATTGTACTACTGAGATTTGTTGCTGGAGCTGCCGACTTCGAGAAAAAAATCTTACGTCAGACGATTGCAAGGTAATCAGAGAACTTTTACATAAGTGTTAAGTATCTCTAGGTGTTTTATAAATGTCCAGCAAGTGTTAATAATATGAATAAAATCGGTGTGTATAAAACAGTGGCGAAGCCAGGAATTGGTCATGGGGGGGGGTTCAAATATTTTTCCATATGTATAAAATCATATATATATATATATATATATATATATATATATATATATATATATATATATATATATATATATATATATATATATGTATATATATATATATATATATATATATATATATATATATATATATATATATATATATATATATATATATATATATATATATATATTTATATATATATATATATATATATATATATGTATATATATGTATATATATATATATATATATATATATATATATATATATATATATATATATAGTATATAGGGATGTGAGTCCATGGGAGGGGTTGTGGAGCATCAAGAGTAAGTGATATGTTTTGGGAACTGTAGGGGGGGGGTGCTTGGCCTTCTTCCCTTCCCTTGTAAGGAAAGTTCTGGATAGGCCACCATAAATGTCTCCAGCTATGGAATAATTAATTTATTTAGTGATTTATAAAATATAATTAAATTTACTACTAGCCTATTGTGTAGGCCTACTATTTGTCCTATGACTGGAACCATATGAAAAAGCCTGAAAACACCTTTTTGTTAAAAGTAATTTATACTTGATGGTATATTTTTAATAGTAATTCTATTGAAATTGAATGAAATATTCGTTGCTTGTGCCACAATGGTTGAGATATCCAATGATGAAGGTGCCATACTGTGGTTCTCAACATCCTATAGGACAACTTAACTGTCCTTCATTGTTATTATATGCATATAAAATAAATAAATAATGAGAAATACTACTAGTACTACTTGTACTAGTAGTACTTAAACAAATATAACATTTAAAACTATGTCACAACATGTACAATCTTAATAAATTGCACCTTCATCTAAAAATTGATCTGGTACATTTTATTAAGGAGTCTGGCGCAGACCATTTCACATTATTCAGCAGGGGAATCAGGATCAGAGTGCACAACAGAAAATAAAAAATTAATCACATTAGTCCTTAAAATTTAGTGTCTTTTGTTTTAAATAAATTGATAAAAATGTATATTTATTATAATTATAAATTTCTTTTGTGTTTCATTAATATTTTATAAGTATTTATAAGTATTTAACCTTCGTTCCCTGTAAATAATTGAGTTCGTCCACATAGTAACCAGGATTGTCTGGTGGCCATTTTGAATTTGTCGGTACATAATTTTGACGCGATAGTCCAGATAAACTTTAGTAATACGACCCTATCATCGATCCCATTCGATAGATTTTTAAGAATTAGTAAACACTAGTATCTAATACAGTGTTTCTTCCAGACTTTTTTCTCCGGGGGGGGGGGGCACTTGTTATTTTCGGGGGGGGGGGCGGTAGACTTTCTTCGGGGGGCGGACACTGTTAAAAGTATATATTTTCTATATAAATTATATAAATTTCATTTCGTTCGGGGGGGGGGGGGGGGGCGGTAAAAAAAGAGATGCCTGGAAGAAACTCTGATCTAATAGTTAAGTGCATCCATATTTTAAGTCCCTAGAATGTCCTGAATTAAATAGCTTCACGTCTAAACACACCATGTAGTTCACACGCTAAAACCGTGGACTAGTAGCTTTCAAATTTACATTAATAACGTGTACTAATTAAAACAAACAGACATTCAAACTTAAAATTCATTTATTAAAATGGAAATGAAACTTTAAAAATGATACTTACAACTTGTTTGAAGGCTCTAGCAAGGGTAAAATCCGTTTAGCATCATCGGTCGTCAACCTTTAAAACCGTTCGGCGAGCAACTGACTCGGGGCTGAAAGTCGGCTGGAGGTCTATATGTTTATTGAGGGCACGGCTTCGCGACCGTAAATCAGAAATACTTGAATTTACAACACAAAGTAGTTATAAAAGTGAACGTTACAACGGTGTAAAAATTGAAACAGAATTAGTTTGTTTTCGTGTATATATCGTCATTTAAAGTTTAAAAACTGCTTTTATACATCAAACGACGATAGGCTAGAATTCGCTCTTTAAAATGACATTAAGATTATGCTTCTACAACGCTTGGTCGCGAAGCCGCGACCAAATGAACCAGTGTGGGGTCGATCTGTACTCGCAAAACGGTGAAATTTGTTGACGTAACTGATACTTTTAAAACAAATATAAAACACATTCAAACAGGTGTTACAGATATAAAATACCAGATTACGATAGATAAAGACTTAAACTTTATCGACATATTATTTTTATTCTTATAGGACAACTAGAAGTAGTGAAATTATTTTTTTGAAAACTGGCCCTAAAACGCACTTTTTCGCCAGTTTGGAGTAACCTATTTAAACTTCAATAGAAAAAAGTTCGACCCGTTTGTCATTTCTTATTGATTACACAGCTCAAAGCGGAGACAACCTTACATCACATGCGCTGGCTAAACAGATTTACAATTATAACATTTATCGACCAGACAATAAATGTCTGGACAATAAATGTTTATCAAAGTAGAGATAGACGATAGATCAGCACGTATCGATTGGACTGAAAAACATAGGTCATACAGCAGCAATATGATTGGCAGGTACACCAGCTAAATGATGACCTGTACCACAGCTATATGATGGCGGGTACAACAGCTAAATGATGACTAGTACAAAAGCTAAATGGTCGCCGGTACAGCAGCTAAATGATGATGTATAAAACAGCGATACGATGGTGGGTAAAAAAATAAATGATGGTATGTACAACAGCAATATGATAGGGGGTACAAATACTAAATGATGGCGGGTACAAAAGCTAAATAATGGCCGGTACAAAAGCTAAATGATGGCGGGTACAAAAGCTAAATGATGGCCGGTATAAAAGCTAAATGATGGCGGGTACAAAAGCTAAATGATTGCGGGTACAAAAGCTAAATGATGGCCGGTACAACGGCTAAATGATGGCTGGTACAACAGCTAAATGATGGCCGGTACAGCAGCTAAATGATGGCCGGTACAGCAGCTAAAAATATCTGGTACAGCAGCAAAATGATGGCAGGTACAACAGCTAATTAATAGCTGGCACAACAGCTAAATGATGGCGGTTACAAAAACTAAATGATGCCTGTTGCTTTTTGTTTCATTTCTTGCCGCTGTTGGTGTGTGTCTGTTTGTGGATCGTGCCTGAAGTTATGACACATTATTACAAACCATCATGTAGCGCCATATATCATTTTTTTTTACAACAACCTTTTATATTAACGTTATATATACTATTTCTAAGCCTCCCTAATCGAAGCAAAAAAAAAAAATGTATTCTTACAAATACTTTCGATTTTAAGAAATAAATAATGTGATAAATATTATTTTGTTGGTCGTAACAATTCATGAATTGGTAAGACCCGGGGTTTCTTTGAGACATTTTTTTCCCACGAACAGCCGGACACTCGCCGTGAGGTGTTCTATCGCACCATTAGCGAGGGGTGTTCTACTTCACCATTAGCGAGGGGTGTTCTACTTCACCATTAGCGAGGGGTGTTCTACTTCACCATTAGCGAGGGGTGTTCTACTTCACCATTAGCGAGGGGTGTTCTACTTCACCATTAGCGAGGGGTGTTCTACTTCACCATTAGCGAGGGGTGTTCTACTTCACCATTAGCGAGGGGTGTTCTACTTCATCATTAGCGAGAGGTGTTCTACTTCATCATTAGCGAGGGGTGTTCTACTTCACCATTAGCGAGGGGTGTTCTACTTCACCATTAGCGAGGGGTGTTCTACTTCACCATTAGCGAGGGGTTTTCTACTTCACCATTAGCGAGGGGTGTTCTATCGCACCATTAGCGAGGGGTGTTCTACTTCATCATTAGCGAGAGGTGTTCTACTTCACCATTAGCGAGGGGTGTTCTATCGCACCATTAGCGAGGGGTGTTCTACTGCACTATTACGAATGTGACTACGTACACTTCAGGGGGTGGGGGTAGGCGGTAGAAGAGATGCCTGAAAGAAACTTTGGCAACATCTTTATAAGTAATGATTGAAAAAGTATGACAATGTGCTACAATTGACCTATATATAGATAATAATTAACAGCAGTTAGAAAAAAATGTAGTCAAAGGCTTTATTATTTAACACTAGGTGACTAACGCTATTACCACTTACATCACAACATAATAGCTTAACCATAATAAATAGTTAATCAGCATTCTACCCTCTAAGTTACATTATATGGGCAAGATCCCTTATACAATATGGGCATGAATTTAATTATATCTTCAAGATTCATTGTATGTTTGCCATTGGTGCCTTCATGGTATTGTACTGAGAAATGTCCCTCTGAATACCAGCTGCTATGTAAAGTCAGATTTTGAGTTTGTTTTGGTGTATTCAAACGTGTTTTGAGTAGGGTTATAAACAGGTTTATAATTAGGGTCATGATTAGGCCCATGATTAAGTTTAGCGTTAGCATTAGCGAGATCAGTACAGCCAAAATAAAGATAAAGTTACTGAGTTAGGTGAGTTAATGGTCCACACATGTTTCTGATGTGTTGTGTTTTTTTTTTGTGGTTGTTGGTTGGTTGATGTGTGTGTATGTGTGTTGTTGCGGTTATTTTTTAAATTTGTTTTTTAATCTTGTATTTACTTGTGATGTATCGCTAGTTTTTTGTAAACTGTCTCAGAGTGGCACTAAAGAGAATTTGTATACACTGATATTGAAACATATTTTTTTTTATTTACCATAACAGTGTTTTAAAACTCCCTTGCTAAAGTTATTTTGAGCACTAACTTCCTTAGAACATACAAACGTCAGAAAAAGCGTTTCTTCTAAAAAACCAAATTGAACCTAGCCAAATTTTTACATATTATTCAC